TTTTTAAATTATTTTATAATAAAAAGCAAAAAAAAAAAAAGTTACCTATAAAAAAACGAAAAAAGAGAAGAAAAACTACCCATTCAAATCGGGAAGTAGTTTCAAGTTGGAGTTTTAAAATAATTTTAAAATAAAAAACAAAATTAAAAATTAAAAATCTATATCTATCTATCTATATATTATTAAAAGAAGAGGAAAAAGCCCTCTCCTTAAGCCAAGTGGCAGCCTAAAAAAATGACACATGGCACAATTGGTTACTAATTAGTTATTAGTTTATAATTAGTTATTGGTTACTTATTTTTGAATTTAAATACATATAAAACAAAAATAATAAAATACAATAAAAACAACCATATATATTAATTGGTTACTTTATTTGGATTAATAAATATAGATATCTTATAATAAAATATAAAAAAAAAAATGAAAAGTAAATATATATAAAAAATAACTACACATTCAAATTGGGTGGGAGTAGTTTCAAGTTTGAGTTTTTAAATTATTTTATAATAAAAAGCAAAAAAAAATTACCTGTGAAAAAACGAAAAAAGAGAAGAAAAACTACCCATTCAAATCGGGAAGTAGTTTCAAGTTGGAGTTTTAAAATAATTTTAAAATAAAAAACAAAATTAAATAAAATAATAAATTACTAATACAAATTGGGGAATAGTTTCAAATTGGAGTTTTAAAATTATTTTAAAATAAAAAAATAAAAAATCTATTTATATATATAATATTATATAACATAATATATATATTATATAATATATAATATATAATATAGGAAAGTCAAAGAAATCTATATCTATATATATATAATAGGAGAGGCAAAGAAATGTTATAATGACAAGTGTCATAATTTCTATTAACAATATAATTATACTAAATATTGGATAATATGATAAATAAAAATNTATATATATCTTATATATAATATCCTAATAGTATCTTTTATAGTTTTGTATTTTTTATTTGAATTGAAAGTTTCTTTATTTTTTTATTTTGGTTTTTATTTTAAAATAATTTTAAAATTCCAACTTGAAACCACACCCCAATTTGAATTGGCAATATTTTATTTTTTTTATTTTAAAATAATTTTAAAACTCCAAATTGAAATTATTCCCCAACTTGAATAGGTAGCTTTTTTTTAATTCATATTTTCATTTTTTATTCTGGCTAATTATAAGATATCTATCTATATAGTATTAAAAGGAGAGATAAAAGCCCTCTCCTTAGCCCTCTCCTTAAGCTAAGTGGCAGCCTAAAAAAACCACATGGAATAAGTAGTTAATAACTAGTTATTTAGTTAATAATAAGTCATTGGTTATTTTTTTTAATTAAAATATCTATAAAGTAATAAAAATAATATTTTATCATCAAAAACGAAAATTAAAAAAACTATCCATTCAAATTGGAAAGTAGTTTCAAGTTGGAGTTTTTAAATTATTTTAAAATAAATAAGTATATCTATATATTATTAAAAGGAGAGGAAAAAGCCCTCTCCTTAAGCCAAGTGGCAGCCTAAAAAAATGACACATGGCACAATTGGTTACTAATTAGTTATTAGTTTATAATTAGTTATTGGTTACTTATTTTTGAATTTAAATACATATAAAAATAAAATAATAAAATACAATAAAAAACTACCATATATATTAATTGGTTACTTTATTTGGATTAATAAATATAGATATCTTATAATTAAATAAAATAAGAAAAATGAAAAATAAATATATAAAAAATAACTACCCATTCAAATTGGGTGGGAGTAGTTTCAAGTTTGAGTTTTTAAATTATTTTAAAATAAAAAGCAAAAAAAAAATTACCTATAAAAAAAACGAAAAAAGAATAGGATAATCAAATAATTATGATAATCTCAAATGTAACATCGAAAAATTAACAAGTGACAAATATTTTTTTAATATTGACCGCGCATCGCGCGGGTACGACTACTAGTATATTATTAAAAGGAGAGGAAAAAGCCCTCTCCTTAAGCCAAGTGGAGGCGTAGAAAAAAGCCACATATTAATAATTGGTTATTTAGTTAATAATTAGTTATTGGTTATAATTTTTTAATCTAAATATTTATAAATAATAAAATAAAATATTTTATAATAAAAAACAAAAATTTTAAAAAAAACTATCCATTCAAATTGGAAAGTAGTTTCAAGTTGAAATTTTAAAATTATTTTAAACTAAAAGAGTAAAATTACAAAAAAAATGCCAATTTAAAATGTCTTTTTTTGATAATTTTTTTTCTTTTTAAAAATAAAAAGTTTATTTATTCAATAAATATTATTGAGAATCTATATAGGAGAGAAAACACCCCTCTCCTTAAGCCAAGTGGCAGCCTTGAAAAAAGCTACATGGAATAAGTAGTTAATAATTAGTTATTTTTTTTGTCAAATTAAAAAAAATTTATTCAACCAATTTTGTATATTTACCTCCACTAGTTCCATTTGGACTCAAGAACTAGTCATCTCTATTTCTATTTATCTAAGAGTATTGACTTTTGTGTTTTCAACCAAAATATCTACCCTTAGCTAGGATAACTATTTAATCCATCTAATATCTTCCTCTAATTCTTGTAATTCTGTCCTCCGATGTGTAGTTGGAGACTAATTTCTCTAAGTCTCTGATGACTCTCCTTCCTTTCATTCTGAAATCTTCTGGCATTTCGTTCACTCCATATATGGTAGACTGTTGCAGCAAAAAGCCATGCCAGTACCTGTGGCTCTGCTTCCTCGACACCTCTTAGACATCCAGTGTACTTCCTCATTCCATGCCTTAGGAAGTCTGTTTTCACCCATCCACCTTAGTAAAGAAGTCGAGATATATCTTGCATAGTTGCATTCAAAGAACAGATGAGCTAATGATTCTGTAACTCTCATGGAACATAAGACACAATCCTTTGGAACATTTATTCCCCATTTCTCTAGTCTGTCTACAGTTGCAAGTCTCTGTCTAATGGCTAACCACAAGATAAATTGGTGTCTAGGTAACTGCCTTGCCCCCATAGTGAGATTTTTCCAATGTACCTTCGGATATTGTGGTTGAAAAGATAGATAAGCTTTCTTGATGCTGAAACCATCACACTTGCTTTATTTTCCAAATTCCACCTTGTAGTCTCTGTTTTCAAACCAACTTCTTGCATCAGATATTTTTCTCACAAGCCAGCAAGCTTGTGATGGAGTTTTCATAGTAACTATATCCTTGTTCTTTATATAGTAACCATGTATCCATTGCACCCATAGGGATTCCTTCCTTGAAGTTACTGCCCGTAGCAGCTTACATATAGTTGCTCTATTCCACAAAAAAGTCTATTAACTTTAGACCCCCTGCTTCCCTTGGCATACATAGTGATTCCCATGAGATTAGTGCTTTCCTAGATGCTTCACAGCTTCCAGTCCACAAAAAGGTTCTGCAGATGCTTGTGACAAGTTGTATAACCTTCTTAGGTAGGACAAAGATTTGAGCCCAATACGTTTGCATTTCAAATAAAACACTCTTAATCAATTGTACCCTTCCACTATAAGACAGGAATTTAGTAGTCCAGCATCTAATCCTTGATATCATTCTCTCCACAATTGGCATACATTGTTGGACAGTTATCTTCTTGGATGAGAGTGGAACTCCCAGGTATTTGAATGGCAGTTCTCCTGGTACAAAGTGCATTTCATTCAGAATCTGCTCCTTCAGTTCTTGAGAAATCCCAGCAATGTATAATGAACTCTTATCCAAATTTGCCTTCAATCCAGACACACTAGAGAAGTGATTGAAACCTTGAAGCATTAGTTGTAAGGATGTTCTATCAGCCTTG